CAGGCAGGGCAGGGCAGGAGGGGGTCAGGACACAATGGGCGCCATGTTGGGGCAGGCCCGGGGGCCTCTAAGCCAGCCCGCGGTGGGCGGGGGGTCCCCTCGGCCTGGCAGTCTGCGAGAGGCAGGGAGGGAGCCGACCTCTAGGCCAGTAGGGTGCGAGGGGCAGGGCATGGGGCCCCCCCCAGCCCAGTCGGTTGTTAGTGGCCAGGGAGATGCCACCTCTAGCGCAGGCAGCTGTCGGTGGGCAGGTGAATACCACCCCTCGCCTGGCAGGCTGTTGGTGGCCAAGGGGATGCCGCCCCTAGCCCAGCAGGCTGTTGGCGGCAGGGGAGGAGGCTCCCAAGGGATACAGACAGCCACCCAAGGACAGATCTGAGGAGCAGTGGTTCCCAACCTGCAGTCCACAGACCCCTGGGGGTCAGCAGCCTGTGTCTAGGGCAGGGGTGGGCAAAATGCGGCCTGCCAGGCCATTCTATACAGCCCGCGGGACCCCTAAAAAATTTAGAAAATTAACATTTATCTGCCCTGGGCTACCTGTCATGCGGCCCTTGATGGCTTGCCAAAACTCAGTAAGCGGCCCTCCACCCAGAATAATTGCCTGCCCCAGTCTAGGGGGTCTGTAAGAGATGGCTGGGATCGGTCAGAAGTAGGTGAGCGCCCCCAGTTACAGTCCAGAGGGGGCCGCACCTCCGTTCAAAATTGGTAGGTGTCCACAAATGAAAAGAAAGATTGAAAACCACTGCACTAGGCTGAGCCAGCCCCTATTCAGTACCCTCCCTGGCATCTGCTCTTTACTGGGCATGTCTGCATGTGCATTAATACACCATAATTACACCGTGACACACTAACACGCAGTAGAATTGTCTGCTGCGTTTCTAGTTTCTCACGTAGATGCGCCCACTGAGTTGGAGATGCCTGAGGAAATGTCTCCAACCCTTTGTGTTCAATAGGCAAAAACAGGTCCATCAGCCCTGCATTTAGCCTGTCCCTCCTTGAGCCTGGCCACGTTACCTGCCTCCATCAGCTCCTGTGGCAATGAGTTCCACACATTAACAGTGCCTTGCATGTGCGGAGGGGTGGGGGTGATGGGGAAGAAATGGGGGTGGACAGAGACAGGCTGGAAGAGTCGGGCAAGAAAAGGTTGAGCTTTGTGGGAAACAGGGAGAAAAGTATTTCCACTAGAGCACGCTTCCCTCTAGAAACCAGAATGGAATCTGATATTCCAGAGTCTGCTCTTTCCCTTGCTGTCGGCAAACATGTGGGACATCCTGGGATGCCCACTGACAAAATGTTTGTCTCGCTGCTATTTAGTGCTAGTCCATATTTTCATTCTTTATGTGGTAATGTTCCAAGTTACTCCATTAGGTCAAATATTTGTGGCCTTTCCAGTGGATATAAAGGTTCCAACCCTGCTGATGAGCAATGTAGGTGTTAATATTCTAGAATTTCTGTTTTATTTTTCTAGTTTGCTTTTTGAAA